TCGTACGTGCGTGGCAGCATAATTGGGGACTATCAGCTTTGAAAATTTCCCGTTGAAAAGCTCGGCGCGGCTCGGGGTTTTATTGATTAATTGTAATTCTAATCATGCTAAAAATAAATGAAAAAAATTACCATAAAATCAATTTATAAAACTACCTTTGTTTGAGAATTAACCTTAACAAAGGTCTAGGTGATAAAAGTTTATCTTTTTTTTTTAATTTTAGAGTGCTAAAATGTTTAAAATTTGACTAAGTCTACAACGGGCTATTATTATTATTATTATTATTGCAGTTAATAGCTTGATTTTAAATCACTTTTTATTTCTCTAGTATAAGAAATACATTGAAACGTATGGAAAATCTTGAATTTTTATTATTATCGCCACTTCAATCAGTCAACACAAAAGCATGTACGATAACAACTTTACTCCCCTAGCACTTTACGACTCGTAGTGCCGTTGGGGGTTGAAAGCTATAATTTTAATGATTTCTCAGAATGGCACAATCGCTTATGCAACCGCAGAGAAAGGAATTTTTTGATCGGTCGCTCATTCATATTTGATTATATTATGTTCTATTTCGATCTCACGGCAGGTTGTTTTTTTGTATGCAGTGCGGGTTGCATGATTCACGATCGCCGTCGGAAATTATCGCTCCGGCACCTGACGAAGATACGCGCCTCGAGATAATTATGTCGATATGACTCACACTTGCAGACTTACACGCACACCAAAGTGTTTATTTTTGGAATCTGCAGTGTGCGAAAACCCAAACACGCGAGAAGGAAAGCCGGATTTGCATCACATTGTGTATATAAACTGGGGCTAATTTCGAGTGCTGGCGATCAATTTTGCCGCAACCAAGAGGGACTTCTTTTCTTGGCACGCGGCTGGAAAAAGCGGCGAATTTGTGACGTTTGGGCTGAGAGATTTATTATCTAGTTTTTATTCTGCTTGCAAAAGTGGCTGTAATTTTTATTTTATTGCGATTTTCGCTTTTTTGGCTCATGGCCGTCTTTATAAAATTTATCTTCAGCTTACAATTATCATAATTCTCTGGTTCTGTGATAAATCAATTACTTAATTCAATTAAATTATTATTAAATTTTTTTTCGTTGAAAAATTTCGTTTTGCGGACCTCTTGAATGCTATTTAATACGATTTAAATAAAGTCCCTCATAAGGAAGGCCAAACAAAAGCTCTTCCTCTCTTTCTATACGCATTACCGCAGCACTTGGCGCTTTTAGACATTCGGCACTGCTCAGATATAATGACAGCGGAGGGAAAACCCGTGGCAAAAATCAATTCGTCTGGCGCTCACCGTCTGCGAAATGATATCGCTCGGGGCCCCGACTTGCGAACGGACGTCGCCTATCTGCTGCTCGGCGGGTTGCGTTTGCATAACACACGTCCTGTATGTACATAGCCAGAGCAGTACATATGTACTTATTACCGAAGCGCATTGTTCGTTCTGCCTTTTACCGATGGCTGATAAGCTGCCTTATTTTCCGTCGGGGCTTCCGCCGCACCAAAGCCGGCCTGCGTTTGTGTGTCAAAATTTGTCAAAATGCAACTCGGCAGGCTATAGAGACGTCAACTTTGTTTGTCCTCAAATTGGCTTATACTCTCGAAAAGGGATTTGTCATAGGGGTTTATCTGCTGAATCAAATAATAGAAACTTGCACACTCCGCTTACATTTACTTATATTTGAAGAACCAAAAATTAATAATAATATTGGCTCAATTTATCAATTATAATGTATTTTGTATTAGAAAATTTTTATCTTTTAAAATGATCATCATAAATTTATGATAAAAACTTAATTAATTTAATGAAATTTCGCCTCAAACTTTTCAACCCAATAAGTTTGTGTTTCTTTTTATATGAGAAAATGCCAGTCACCACCTGGCAGGAGTCATGCTTTGAATTCACGACCCCAAAATGTAGAGCACGTCGACTGAGCAAACTTTTCGGTCAAACAAACAGACCCAGTTTCCTTTCACCTCGAAAGATTCACTTTCGCCGCCCTGCATCAAAAGAGCCGCCCTTCTTTCAAAATCCGAGAGTGCGGTGACACCGCCGGAATTCCCGCGCGCACTTTATTAATTTTTCACTCGGCACGTGCATGCGAAACGAGCAACAAAAAGTTGAAATAGAAAACGAAGGAACACGCACGTGTGCAAAATAAAAGGGGTTGTTTTTAATACGTATTCGATTCAGGGGGGCGCAGTGCGGCGCCGTGAGAGAGAAGTGGGTCGGTGGTGCTTCATTGATCGCCGGCCGGCTGACTCTTTGAACGAACGAACGTCTCTTCATTGCCGAGGCAAATCACGCGCCACACCCCGCCCGCCCGCCTCTCGCTGACAGGAAAATGCAAAGGTGTCGCAGCCGGCGAATTAAACATAAATAAATGACGTGCAGCGTTTGCAAACACGCGCCGCCGCCGACGCAACTCGAAATCCGCTTGGGTCTTAGGTATAATTAAGAACGAGGAAAAGTTCCACGCGTTTTTATTGTTTCCTTTTGCAAACTCTGGATTAATTTTCATTGCGGTTCTTTTCTTTAAAGAAGAGCCTCGTCGAGTTTTAATTCAATTAAGCGCAAAATGCGATTTAATCCTGACAATGAGTGGAAAAGAGCATCAAACACAATCAAGTTTCAAAACAGATATATTATTATTGTTGTTTATTGTCTAAATTTGTATCTAAAAATTTTAAACAGTTTTTAAAAATAAGACGTTAAAATATAAAATAGGAACAAATTCCTGATTTTTTTCATTAAAGATTACTTCATCGAATTATAAGATGCAAAATAAAGGTGATCTGAAAGTTAAAGGTTAGACTTTTGGATTTCCCACATTACTAAGTTCATAATTTATACGGGTACTTAGAAATGAGAACAATACGTGCAACAACAATAGAGTTTTAAGATTCTAATGTTGATTAATCAGAGTTTTCTCATTAAAGAATTTTTATAAAGAGTTTTTAAAATGGCAGGTATTTTAAATTATTAATTATCTAAGTTTAATAAGCAGAGTTTAAAAATGCATGTTGTAAAGAATATGTGAATATTTTTTTCTACATTTTTCCCCTTTCCAGCTCCAGTTTGGCGAGTAGGTTTAATTTGGAAACGCTTTCAAATTAAGCTTATGAGTTTTTGTAAGTTATTTACTAGGGCTGGTGGCCAATTCTCGACTAAATTTAATTTTTTCCTCCCAAAAAAATCTTGACCTGTAGTGAGGGAATAAACGAATTTAATTTAACCAAATTTAACTAAACCTGAATCAAAAACAATTTTTTCTGCAACTAGGAAAAGCCCGATCTCTTCATTTTCATGAATTTGACTAAATTGTAATCTGAAATTTATTTTTTATTTTCGTTTCCTAAAATATTAAACGTTGCAGTTTCATTAAGCCAATCCAGCAGATTTTTAAATATTCAACAATTGAAAGAAATTTAACTCTTTTTAAATATGATGTATTTGCAAAATAATTTAATTTGTAATATTTATAGAGGAAAATTTGCGTGAAAACCAGCGAGTTACTTTTAGCTTTTACATATATATTTTATCCTCTCCAATAATTTCCAACGTGTCATTGGCAAATGTCAATCAAAATTTTTAACAAATCGCTCGCAAACAAATTTGCGTTGACATTTTGGGCTTTCCCGCTTGCCATTTTTGGCGTCACCGTGAATTCTTAATTGCCTTTCGCTGTTGCGATCCATTAAAGGGTCGTGCGCCAATTAATAACGCACACTTGCACAAATCCATGGAGAGTGAGCAGAATTTGCGCGTAATGATGCTCGCAACTTCCAAGTCCATTAGTTCGAGTGCAACCCTCGAACCTTATTTCTGCATAGGGTGTCTGAGTGTGACGCGCAGGAAGCAAGGTGGGGACCGATCGATGCGTGTGCGAAAATAGAGTGCACTGGCGCGACCCTTGCCCTTCTTACTTTTTCGCAATTATCCGCAATTTGCCCACGTGCCGTGAGCAAATTGGGCAGAAAACGGTCTGTGCACTTCATTACTGCTCTTTCCGTGCGGAAATGTTTGTTGCCTGCCTATTCCGCGTGTGTTTGATTGCACGCGCCATTCTGCCTAGGTGCGAGCAGGGCGCCTGCCATTAAGTCGAAATTGCGGTTTCGCTGCTCAGACGAAGGGAGAGAGACTGAATGACGGCTCATTAACTTGTCTGTTCCGATCGCTACGGAATCTCGCGTTTCCATCAGATATGCAAAATTTAGCTCAAAAGCTACCCAAATAAAAAAGCAGCCAATTTAGTACCTGCTTCTAAAATGCCCAATTCTTTCTTATGAAAACACTTGAAAAATTTAAGAAGCCATTTTTTTTATTTATTTGAACGTCTTATTAAATTTCGATATTTTTTTTTTTTAATCAATATTGTGTTCCAGTGAAAAATGTGTATTTTTTTTTTTTATCATCAAACAGCTATTTTAAATATTAAAATTACAGTATCGACCCAACTGTCTATTATTTCAAGCCTTAATCTTTAGCTCTTTTGCAATCGATCTTTGTTTGCAACTCTGTGCTTTTTTTGAGCGAGGCAAAAAAGAAAACAGTGTTTGTGGTTTTGGCTTTTATACGGTCTGCGGCCGAATCTGGGGCTCCCTGCTGCTTGTTTTTCGCCGCCTAACGATGGAAACTTTTTACATAAATTTCATGACCCGCTTGCCAAGTGTGTCACTCTGTCATTTACTGCGCGGTGATCAAAGAGCGGAAGTGTTTGTTTCTCTGAAAGTATCAAAGAAAGAAACAACACGAAATTTGCATGCTGGACGGGCGGCTCGGAGTGGAGCCGGCTTGACGCACTGCTTTGAAATGACAAACAAATTTAAATTTAGCGAGAGTGCACGAGGAAGCGGCCAATTCAGCAGCCTCTCACAGCCGTTTCCGGCCTCAGACTTGCCGCCCCCGGAGGACCAGGAGGCGAAACTTCTTCTTCAATACTGGGACTAAAAACTGATTTTACGAGAAAACGTACCTTTAGCAAGGCGCTGCAGGATGATGTCCTTGTGCTCGTCGCAGTGGGGCTCGCCCAGGATGATCAGCAGATAGCCTCCGGAGAGCGGTGAGGGCGCCGGGGGTGGACCCGAGGGCGCCACCTCCGGGCCGGGGGCCGCGGAGGACGCCGATGCTTCCTCCATGGCTGAGCTCACGCGAATGATCCGCCGAGCCGGCCGAGGCAGCGCTCCAAGTGGCAGACGGGGCCCCTCGTGCGCGCGCCTTCGTCCTTGCGAAATGGCCGGGCGTTCGCCCGACGCACCCTTGGCCGCCTCCGGCCGCCCCCAATTCTCTCGCCCTGCTCTTGTCGGTCCTCTCCGAAGGTCTTGCTAGATTTTGGCTCGTCTGGACGCGTTTCCGGCGATTTTCGGACCTTTTTTGATCGCGGTTCGCAAGAGACAGCCGGCAGACTGCTGGTATTGATTATTGTTGACCTTACTCGGAGCGAGGCAGTGGCCCCTCTGCATCACAATGTAAGGGTTGCACGAAAAAATTTATGTTTTATTTGGTAACAAAGCAGTTCTCTCTGTGTGTGCGAGCTTTGGTGCCAGCAGCAGTTTAAGTGGCTTTGCGGAAAAATTTCGCCCGGACGAGTGGCCATTGCTGGAGGAATAAAATGGCTCATGTCGCACACGCAGGCCAAAATTATACATTTTGCAAAAGGTTCCGCTCGTGCAGTGTTAAATACCTCCTTTTTAAAAATGGAATAATTCCCATTGAATGATCAATAAAAATTTGCAATTTAATTTTGAAAATGCTTTATATTTGCAATTTTCGCAATTTAATTTAATTGAAAAATTCCTGTCGTTAAACAAGTGTTTTGTGTGCATTTGAAAGATTTTTTTGCAATTCAAACAGCTACACGCAGTTGGATTTCCATAAATAACCATCTCATGTATTATGTATGCTGCTTCGATTGCACTGAGATCATTTGTCACTCCTCTCAGGCGCGTGCTTCCCTACTGAACTAGAAAAAGCATAAGTTCAGTAGATACGGTCGGATCAAATATGCACGGAATAAATCCATTAAACATTATAATGTGCCCAAAATACATATTATTATTTGAATAATACTTTTTCAAATTGTTTTCAAATCACTCAAATTTTTTAATTTCCAAAGAATTTCTCACATGAAAATCCCAACCCAACAACATGTACTGTGATATGATACATTCATGTTTTTAAGAGTTGTGTGTGTCTTTTTATGCACGTGATAAAACATGCATAATTGGCGCAGCACTTGAAATGTCCAAACTTCTCTTCTATGCACGCGTGTCTGCATACCAAACAGCAGCGGTCGCGGTAATTTCAATTTGTTATCTCCTCGTTATGTCAGGTAATTTTATTCAAACTCATTAATTTAAAAAAAAAGCGAATTCTAGTTGCCGCGTGGTGCTGCCTCCAATGAAACCTCCAGCGCCTCGTTATCGTGGAACACATGCCTGGAAAAAAAACAAATTTGAAACAACAAAGAGCTGAACAAAACTATCCAAAAATATGCTGTGTCTCCCACTGATATTTTAAAACTTTTGACATGGATAATCTGAATTACAGGATAGTTAAGAATATTCTTTTTAATTGAATTAATAAATCAATAAATTTAGAGACCCGAGCTAGACAGTGCTTTTTTATCTCAAGTTAATTAATAAGTTTTGAGTTATAATTTATAATTTAAAAAAAGCAGTAATCAAAACAGTGGTATTTTTCATCCCTTAAAGGAGTTCTCAAATTATGAGCATATTTGGCAATTCACAAACATTTTTACAATTTCTCTTTCAGTAAGTGAAGTAAAACAAAAATATTAAAAATAAATAAAGCGTAATACTAATAATAATAATAGTTCAAATCTCAATATCAAGTAAGGTGAAATTTATTAATGTTCACACAGTTTGTTAATTTTCGTTTTTATTAGAAATAGAGGAAAATGGAGGAAAATTGCCTGGCTGTTCTGCAAAAACACCTGCTAAAAGCTGTTCTGTCGACAAATTAACGCTCGTTAGATGTAAATTCACGCGTCCGTACACGCCCAGAGAAAAGTCAATTTGTGCGCCAGTACCAAATTTGCAGGCTCGCAAATTATAATAGGCCCAACATTAGTGACGTGCGAGACGAAAATGAATGGGTGGTCAGTCCGTACGCAAATGACTGTTCACGAACGCCGCATTCAATTCGTCGTTGCAGCGTTTATTTGTCGTCGGACAAGCGCGCAGGGCGAACACGTGACGGGGTGAGTTGGCCCGAGGGGTGCGGCGCTGCCAAAAAAGCAGGTGCCCTCTGACGCAACCGGTATAATTAATTGCAGGCGCGGCTGCAAAGGTGAAACAGTGATTGATCGAGAGCCTTCACTAATTAATTTAGGCGCGTGTCAAGGTCACTTATTATTCAGCCGCCAATAATTTTTGATGCGCTAAATTTTTACCCTCCAATTTACAATCCAATCAATGAAAAATAATTATTACTTTGCATAAATTCTTCACTAACTTTTTATCCAATAATTATAGTTACGCTAAAATAATTTTTTTAAATTAATTAGGAAAACATTTTGTCCAACATTTGTAACTGTTTCTGATTATATTTGTTTTCAAATAATTATCAAAATATTATATTGTAAGAATCCAATTTAATTTCATCAGTATAAAAATATAACAATAAGTAATTTATTTCAGTGGTTTTCAAACAATTTTTGCACCCATGACCTGCGTTTCCTTTTCCATCTTTTTAGACGAGATAACTTTTTACCAAAAACATTGCAATTTAGAACACAAGCACTACAAAGTTTGTTGAAAGTATAAGTGCGGACATATTGATTTAGTATAAATTCGGATGCTTTTGTTTTGGCAAGCCTTCTTTTCTTTCTCACGTCGAAAAATGTGCATTAACAAACTTTGAATTCAATTTTCCAACATTTCGTCGGTGGCGGGTATGCAAATCAACACAGCAATCAATGAATATAGTTTGGCGGAGAAAGAACTTGAATATGAACTCAACGGAATCTCTTTGTTCGCGAGGGCGAATTGAGAGCGCCCATAACTTCTCCAATAAATGGCACCAATAAACTTTTCTTTTTTGCCCGAAGAAACGCGTTCACTTAAAAGAGAAGGTTGCTGGTAGACAATAGTTCAGAAGTCTCTCAAAGGTCTTGGATAATATTTCAATCCTCTGAAGATCATATTTGAACACTTCAACCAAAATTAGTTTTAAAAAGTGAAAGTGCTTTTCGGGGTTTTTTTTTTAATTACAATTGAATTTATCTTTGCAAACAGTCCCAAGCAAAATTTGATAAAAGGTCAGATCTCAGATCAAATTAAACACTTTTTTAATAAGAAAAGAAGTGCAAATGCCAACCGAACCGCTACTTGAAAAACGCCAGACTTATTCTGAATTCTGAGACTATTTTTCCTCATAAACTTACTCAAAAACCTGTTCAAAACAAGACGATTATTTTTTCATAATAATCTGAGCCTTTTTGTCTAATAAAATTGCAATTTTTTGTTGCAATCCAGAAAGGGGGTGAAAATTCTGACGTCAAACGCGATCGTCTGCAGATAATAAATAAGCGGGCGTTATGAGCTGGCATTACTGGTTCATGAGTTGGAAGTGCTTGCTTCAGACCCGGCGTCGGCACCGTTTCGCAATTCTATTTCCACCCAACTCGGCGTCGTGCATTATGAACGTTGATAAGTGTGAGTAGTGCGCCCAAAAAATCCTGCGGAGAGTGATGGAAGGAACGTCGGTACGTGCCAAGAGAGGTGTGCAATTTTGGCTTGTTGCACGTGCGACCCTCTTTGGTCTCAGCTGGCAGCCGAATCTGGCCTCTGGTGGGTGGAAGCTGATCAATACTCGTCGCTTGCTCGATGGATGGATGGATGGAGAGATGAATGGACGAGAGACGGAAACTGAAGGTGGAAATGAGACCGGCACGAAAAATGGGCCCGGAGTGTTGTTTATTTATTTGCAGTGGAGGCCGCTGGTAAATTTCCTCTCGAGAAGACGGGCAGCCGCGGGCCCGTAAATTTCTGTTTGCGCAACGTCGCTATTATTCGTCGTTTTCGCAAACACGGCTGTAATTGTGAATAAATAGACTAGAGTGCACAAGGATTGTCTGGGGGAAACACGTGCAAGTGAAATGAGTTCGAATTTTTTAATGTTACTGTCTCTTTTTTCCTTTTTCTATTACCATTAAAAGTTAATATGATAAAATTCATAAATATGTATATTTGATCAATATTTGTCTAAAATAATTTTATTTTTATTTGTTCATAAAAAGAAAATTATTCAATCTTATGAGACCTGCAAAATTTTCAAAAATATTGCTCAAAAATGGAAACTAAACTGATGGATGGATTTTATTATTTAAAGATGAAATAGAGAGAGAAAATAAATATAAATTATGTGTCATTTAACTTGTAAGGACCTCTTAACGCTCAGAATACGTCTAAAATATGGACTTTTAAATGAATTTTAATTTTAAGGGACATTTCTTTATTGAAACAAGAAGTAATTTATTTATTCTCCATTCATAATGTTTTATTAATTAATATTACTAGTCATACTCTTTAAATACTCGTTAAAAAATTAACTTTACGTTAATAATTAATGTGGGAGATTTAGTATATCAAAAGATCTTAAAATAACATGAGCTTATAAACTTGGAAATAAATTATGCAGTTGATTAATCATAGTTTTGCATCAAACGGAATTGCAGAGAAGTGCAAATCAAACATCGACACATTTACCCCTCAGCAGCGGAATTGAACATGGAATATTTAAGTGTCAGCAGTAAACTTGCATGCATCAGAATACATCATTGAATATTTATCAGAGCCACTCGAGCGATTTTGATCTTTTTATTGCCCTTTAAAACTACGTCACAAAAAGATTTGCTCCGCGAGACACATCGCGCAGGTGATATTAATTCACGGCTGAATGCGTCTCTGAAATTACTGGAGCGCGCACTAGTGGCGCAAAAACTCCGTTCTTTTTTATTTCAACTCCGCGAGCAGAGAGAGAGAGAGAGAGAGAACGTTTTTTTTTATTCGCCCGCTTGCTCTCATCTCACCACTTTTTTCGAAAATATGTGCACGCACCAACTGAAACACCAGCATCAAGCCTTTGTGCGCGGCCACAATATAACTTTTTTAATGAGAA